TATTGGCTATTACCTCTTAGGTAACTTTAAAGGTAAGAACATTATCTGTGCTCAAGTGTCGGATTTTATTCGATATTTTAATTTTCAAGCGAGATATGAGCATTTTTAATTCGTGATATTTCACTTAATCATATCTTGCTTGAAAAAGAAAATATCGGAAAAATCACCGGCGCTTAATCATAGATAGTGTTCTTGCCTAAAAGTTTGATAATAGGTCAATTCACTCTAAAATTAAAACTAACACAGTACCTAACACCAGACTGTTGAAGCTAATTAACGAGAATGTCGTACATTTGTAAGATGGAGACAATTAACACATGCAGGGTAGTGTCCTCTTAATGTCATCAGAAACAATTGAGTTACAGTAAAATTATTTATAAATAGGCCTGCCCCCTGGGCCATCTCCCATTGAAGACGCTTCGGGTCAAGACCGTACTCAGCATTTTTTTTTTTTGGTGGGAAGGGAATAAATGTCTTTATTGGTTCAGAATATAAAAGTAGGAGGTATTTAAGTTGGCCGAAATTCAAATTAATGTTAAAATTTTTAACCTACTTCGAAAAAATGTTGATGGGTGCGAGGTTGGACCTTAGTCAGAACTAAAAACAATTTTATTCAAGTTTGAAAAACTCAAAATCAATGAATTCAATAAGTAATTAACAATAAGTAATTTTTTCATATTTTTGATATTGAAAAAATAAAAACAACGTTGCAACGTAAATGTTCTCCTCTTTATAGTGTGAAAATTTGGTTCCTTAGCTTGGACTACAGCCTGAGTGGATCTTACCCGCAGAAAACAGATTTTGCCATGTTTTACATTTTTAATTCTCTATTATACAACCACATAACTCGTAGTTGTTAGTCATAACTCACAAGTCACATTGCAATAACAAGAAAATAATATTATTGCATACAATTATGTATAAATATATATATATACAGCGTGATTCTTTTATCAAACAACACTCATTATTTCAAAAAGTGTAAATTTTTTTGAAAATATTTTTTTACATAGTTTCAAGTCGCTTATAAAACAACGTTTTTATTAAAAAATTATATTTTTAAATATTTTTTATCCTTATAATTTTTTAAGTTTTTTACTTTTTTGAATAACAACATAGGGTTTTAATTTTATATTCCAAAGCAGAATATTTTTCTTAGTATTTTGATACATGAAAATCGAATTTGGGTTGAGTAGTGTATGAGTTATAAGTATTTAAAGTTTAGACGAGCGGAGTGGAGTGGTTCGGGGTTACCCCGCGAAATGTTTGTCCACTTCACCGCTCGTCTAAACTTTAATTACTTATAACTCATAAACTACTCGCCCCAAATTAAATTTTCATGTATCAAAATACTAAGAAAAATATTCTACTTTAGAATATCAAATTAAAACCCTATGTTGTCATTCAAAAAAGTAAAAAACTTAAAAATTATAAGGATAAAAAATAATTAAAAATATAATTTTTTAATAAAAACGTTGTTTTATAAGCAACTTGAAACTATGTAAAAAAAATATCTTCAAAAAAATTTACACTTTTTGAAATAATGAGTGTTGTTTGATAAAAGAATCACGCTGTATATATATATATTTATACATAATTGTATGCAATAATATTATTTTCTTGTTATTGCAATGTGACTTGTGAGTTATGACTAACAACTACGAGTTATGTGGTTGTATAATAGAGAATTAAAAATGTAAAACATGGCAAAATCTGTTTTCTGCGGGTAAGATCCACTCAGGCTGTAGTCCAAGCTAAGGAACCAAATTTTCACACTATAAAGAGGAGAACATTTACGTTGCAACGTTGTTTTTATTTTTTCAATATCAAAAATATGAAAAAATTACTTATTGTTAATTACTTATTGAATTCATTGATTTTGAGTTTTTCAAACTTGAATAAAATTGTTTTTAGTTCTGACTAAGGTCCAACCTCGCACCCATCAACATTTTTTCGAAGTAGGTTAAAAATTTTAACATTAATTTGAATTTCGGCCAACTTAAATACCTCCTACTTTTATATTCTGAACCAATAAAGACATTTATTCCCTTCCCACCAAAAAAAAAAAATGCTGAGTACGGTCTTGACCCGAAGCGTCTTCAATGGGAGATGGCCCAGGGGGCAGGCCTATTTATAAATAATTTTACTGTAACTCAATTGTTTCTGATGACATTAAGAGGACACTACCCTGCATGTGTTAATTGTCTCCATCTTACAAATGTACGACATTCTCGTTAATTAGCTTCAACAGTCTGGTGTTAGGTACTGTGTTAGTTTTAATTTTAGAGTGAATTGACCTATTATCAAACTTTTAGGCAAGAACACTATCTATGATTAAGCGCCGGTGATTTTTCCGATATTTTCTTTTTCAAGCAAGATATGATTAAGTGAAATATCACGAATTAAAAATGCTCATATCTCGCTTGAAAATTAAAATATCGAATAAAATCCGACACTTGAGCACAGATAATGTTCTTACCTTTAAAGTTACCTAAGAGGTAATAGCCAATAGGTCAATTCACTCAGTTATCAAAACTAACAGAAAACTAGTGAACGAACATGTGCCATGTTGTTCGTGTGGAAGACGGAGACAACAAATACATGGGTGTAGCGTCCTCTTACCATTTTAATTAAATTGTTACATTTCAATAAATCTATACAATATTAATTGTTCGTCCTAATATGTGGTTAAAATTGTCCATCCATAACCTCTTATAACCCCCCAGTTCATTTTAGCATTCGTTATAAAAATATAGTTTTTAGACCACTGATTTTTTTTTAGAATCGTAACACAGTTGACAATTAATGCCAAAATGACACTGGCCACGGGTTATTTAAGAGGACGTTGTTCTCGCAGGGTAGTCTTCGTTTGACTAACGCACGGCATAACATAGTAAACCTTACGTTATACGTTGATAATAATTCACTTTAATATGTTCTTTTAAATTTTAGAGTATTTGACTGTTAATATTATTTAGGGCCATACATAAGCGTTTTTGTTTATTTTAGTTTTAAAACAAGTTAGGTATGCGCATTTTAATACTCGTAACTGGCAAAACATATTTAAAGAAAAAACATGATATAATATGTACCTATTATATCTTGTAATACCTAAACACAATTTAAAACTAAATATAGTATACAAAGACTGAGTTTGTACCTTTAGTTCATCCCCCCCACTACAAATGGTTCTACCAGTCGATACCAGAGCGAACTCAGACTAATGTTTGTACCTATTTGTTATTCGAATATGTACGAATAGGCACCTATAGTCTATAGTTAGGTATAGGTAGTATCCATCACGTTTAGTTAAAAACAATTTTTATTTTTCTCATATCATATTATATTATTATTATTATTATTTATTTCCCGTAGAGTCCACAATCCGGAACTGCGTTGGATGAAAACGTCGAGCAGGGACATCCCGTCCATAACCAGAGTGACTGTCACATCCGAAGACATACTGACGTGCGGTCAGTGTTCCAAGGTGTTCGTGTCGCTGGACGAGTTGTCCGCACACGAACGCGTCCACGACGAGCAACGGGAACAGCTGGAACAGCAGTCGCAGACGGTCGCGACGACGATTGCACCGCCGTCGGCGTCTGTGATTACGTCGACGTTCACGTGTGAACAGTGCAACAAAAAGTTCACGTCGAAATTGCAACTGTCCGCGCACATAGGCAACAACTGTTCGGACGGCGTTGACCGGCAGTGCCCGTACTGCGGCAAGCAGTTCCGGTCGGTGGCCACGCTGGAGAACCACAAGCGGGTTCACACCAGGGAAAAACCGTTCGCTTGCGAGCTGTGCGGCAAGGCGTTCCGGACCAAGGGCAATCTGCTCGAGCACAAGCGCGTGCACAACAACAGCCTGTGGCTGATGAAGAGCAACGCGAAGATGACGACCGACGCCGGTGCGGGCGGCGGCGACCAGCGGTTCCAGTGCACGTACTGTTCGAAACCGTTCCGCACGTACACGGCCATGTTGAACCACGAGCGCGTGCACACCCGCGAAAAGCCGTTCGAGTGTTCCGAGTGCGGCAAGTGTTTCCGCACCAAGTCCAACCTGACGGAGCACATGAAGGGCTGCCACGACATGGACTCGGCCGCTTGTGGCTCGGACGAAGTGCAAGTGTTCACGTTCAAGACCCATTCGACGATGGTTACCCCCAAAGCCGAGCCGGAGTCGGCGTGACGACCGTGACAGTCATTTTGACGATGATTTCTATCATTCATACGATTAATTGTTAGGTATGCATTTATTTTATTGTGTTATACAATTTTTATAGGATCAGAACATAATCTCGTACCAGCATTTATATACGTAACCACAATAATGTTATTTTGGTATATATTTAATAATTTAGTTACACATAAAACAGTACAATATAATTTACATTTTATTCTTTTGCAAGTACACATTTACATGATATAATTTATTATTATAATATGTGTATACAATAATATATATATAATATTAATTCGACGTTTATTGTTTAATCAAATTTTGCGGCGATTATAATATAACTATATAATAATATTATGTATTTAAATGTTCGTTTAGCTATATGATAGTTATAATAATAATGATAATAATAATAATAATAATAATTAATAATAATGATAATAATATTAATATGTTAATAAATGTTAATAATTACAATTACATATTATAAATATAAGTACCTCCTATTCGTCTAACATTGTTCGTGTCGGTAGGTACGTATCTAATGTGTTATATAAATTATAATATTACTCAGTATAACTGCTAAGTAATAGTATATTACAATTATACGTAACTAATACAATCATGTTTTTATCGGTTCGTCGAGAATTGCACGGCGTCGTCGACAGCAGCTTACACTACGTCGTACACGCCCGAAATATCGGAATTCAACGTTGACATAATATTATTATTATTAATAATAATTGATATTGCTCGTGTACGCGTGTGTCTGATTATCGCATTATTGTCGTTGTTGTTATATTTTGACAAGCTGATGTCACTGCAAGCGTGGCCAGTATTGAGAGGACAGGTCGGCCGTGTGCCCTGGTACGGCGATCGGCACCGAAACTCCGGGCGATATGAGACCTGCAGAACCGAAAAATATTGAAATTATTATTAATTATTTATATTATTTGAACTTAAACGGGTCGTGATGATGATATGATATGTCACGATATTACAATTTACACTCAAGGGTACAAACGCTAGTACAATACAGATAGGTACTTAAAAATACAAAAAATTCCATTCACATGATTGGGACTTGACTGTCTTGCGTTGACGTGATGAGACTGACGATTATAATATTACTATATGATGTATATTTTTACTCGATGAAAATTTGTAAAAATTATTAAGTATATTGATCTAGGAAAACCTATTTTTCTTTATTCGTAACATTCTGTAACATTGAATATTTACTAACAACATAGGTTGTTGAAGCTGCAGCAGGTAACGAGAAAAAAGAAAAATATTATATTATATTGGTGTATTGTGTATTAATTTACTATTACCCTACCATACATTCCGAATCCGTGATTTACATATATAATTGTGTGTTCGTATATACCGTATATCATCTACGATTCAAGGGGGAGGGGGGGTGGCACAGATAGGTAGTATGGTATATAGGTAGTATGGTTATATAGTGTATAGCTAAATACCTATACTATAATAGTATAATGTATCATCCCTTGAACTGGTGCTAAGGGCGCCGACATATTGAAATAAGTACATAGGTAGGTACCTATATATTGCCTTACAGGATATGCAGACGCGGTTTTAAAGTTTTTTCTCACCCCGTTTGTTCACAATATTGCTGAGCTGTGCACTGTGCATGTATATAATATATTGGTACTTAATGTGGCCCCCTACACAGCACTGTCTTCCCAGCTTGAATCGCCCTCGAATTCCGATCCGTACCATCGTACAATTCAGAGTTAAGATTGCACAGGGACGAGGGACTCAGCAGCAAAGAAGTGAAAATGTATTTATTTTTTCGTATTTAATTCGAGTTTATATAAATTTACAATACCTACCCAAGTCACCCCATTTGGGTTTTGTACTTGGTGCATCGCCGTACCTCTAATATATTATATTATACAGGACGGTCGCTTTTTTCATTTAACTAGGCATTTATATTTTGATTTTTGAAATTTTGACATATAGGTAAGTAATAACAATATTTTTAAATATTTAGATTTGTTTCAAAAATGTATAAGGAGCTTGTTCTTTTTCCAAATGATTAATGAGAATTATCCGTTTTTACTGTACTATTAATATACCATATAAAATTATTCTCATATTTAGTCTATATTGCTTATCATTCTCGAACAATTCTTATACATTATGAAACGCGAATCGAATTAATATTGATAACTATAATTTACAAATCGTCATAGCCCTTTTATCAGCTCTGTATAGTACGTACCTGTACACCATTTACCTATAAGGCTATATCAAAATATGGTCTTATTAGTTATGACCTATCCTATTAGTTCATTGCAGCCTTAAATAACTCAGTACAACTAGGTACTCGTTCGAATTTCTATTTGACTATACGCATCAACGTTTTCAAAAACAATCATCTGTTCAAAAATTTACATTAAAATGGGGTGGTTTTTATTTGGGAAAAAAAAATAGTTTGTAGAACACTATTATTAAATGGTAACTATGAAAATCTATGATGTATTTGAAATTTGAGAATATGGTTTTACCATATTAATGAAGTACATTAAGTACAAATAGTACCTATTGTTGAATCAAACTTTGAATAAATGTGTAGAAAACATGCGAAGTTCGATGGAAATTATAATCGAGTACATATACTTACCCTGAACTCAAACGGTCCGACTGTCAGAGAAAAATCAAGTTCGATTCGATACTTTATTACAGGTATATATTTTATAACTAAATACAAATAGCCTTACTCTAGAATACCTACCATTTATATTCGCCGCATTTCATGTATACCTTAGCCTATCACAGTTATAAAACAGGGTCTGCAATATTTCAATTATTTGAAATTACAAAATGGAATGATAAATTTAATTTAAAGTTTCAAAGTAAGTACCAGCACAGTATGTTCGCAAAAAGTTGGAGAAAAAAACGGATTTCGAATTCGTGAAAATTGGAGTTCGACCCATTGCTATAATATTATAAAATTGTTACGGACCCCCGCGAAACATTTATCAACGATATATGGGTAGGTACGTTATGACGTACAACATTAAATGTCCGTACCTGTGGAGTTTGAGCCGTTCATGTTGTACTGGTGGTGCGCGTGGTGGTGCGGATGGTGTCCGTTGATGGGCGGCGGGTGGTGATGGTAAGCAGCGGCGGCGGCTGCTGCGGCGGCGGCCGCGTGGTGAGTCGGCGGGCTGCTGTTGTTGTTGGACGTGGGCGACACGGGCGGCCTCAGGTAGCCGGGCGCGCCGATGGCCAGCGGTGGAGACGTGTCGTACGTGGGTCTGGACATGCAGCCGTACGCATCTCGCTGGTCGCCGCCGCCGGTCATGGCGTGGTGGCCGCCCATGATTGGCAGCGACAGGCCGTTCTCGTTGTTGCCGCCGGGCATACCGAAATTCATCGACATCGGGCTGTATAACACATGAAAAACGAGTGGGTCAAAATTAAGTAAAATACATACGCCTATAATAATGATAAGTAAGTTTAGTCGGAGCACCAGCTACCTCATAGGTATTGTAAGACCGAAATTTTCGTAAATATTGCCGTATTTTATGAATATTTTATTGGGAAACTGTTATATTAATATAATAAACATTTTAATATTTTGTTTTTCAGAGTACCTTAGCGAATAATATTATTTTTTGACGTGAGCTAAGATTATTAGTATTTGAATAACCGATAATATATGTTAGCCAATAAATTTATACTCGTAGTTATTATTATTTTTATTACAATATTAAATATTTTATAATATATTAATATCATACAATAAAGGTATCTGTTATCCATATTAAACGAATAATTTTTTCTTTAAAATCGATGGAATAGTTAATAGATTGAAGTATTGAACCTCGGCTTCATCTAGGTACGTATATATATACGTATATATAGTGTACCAATATTATATTCTTATATTTATATATTTTATATTTATGAGTTGTAAGTTTATAATCTGCCAATAATCTACTGTATTGTGACTTTAAATAATACTATGATAACTGATAAGTATTGTTGGCTGATATGATAGTATATTATGTGTATTGTGTATAGGTTGTAGGTACAAGGTACCTATATAACGTATGTGGAACTAACAATAACATATATAGATAATAGTTATAGATATAGGTACTATAGGTATGTACAATATTTTTTTTTTTTAGTACTACTTTATTGTTAAGTTTAGGTAACTAACTAACGAGTGCGTAATACGAGTACATACAGGGAAAAAAATTCGATGGAGCGTTATTTTTTATTTTATTTTTTGAGCGGCCAATGTTTTTCCAATTTTTTTTCAATATTCATTATTAATCGGAAAAATATTTTAATTAAATCTTGAAAGAAACTGCAAGATAAACATAGACTATTTTTATATCAAAAAGATACTTGGAAATGTCGACGATAATCATACTTTTTATATTATTTACTCGGTAGTTGCAGACTTACGTAAGTAAATATAGCACATATATAATTATTATGTATTATGTACACCTATACAATTTTAACCATAATATCTTATAATATTCACAATTTAATCTTTTTAAATTTTATCATTTTTTCATCACAATGATTCTTCAAAAACAAAAAGAATGTTCGTTATTGTACAATGTGAAATAACAGTCATAAAAACAAATAATAATTGAAAAACTATAACGGGGTAGTTTAAACTTTAAACAACGAGATATATATATTAAAAGTTCTAGTTGAGACATGAGACATTATAAAACATTTTAATTTTAAAGTTATTCTGTGGAAGATGCTCACACACCAGGAGGATTTTAAAATTCAAAATTGTTAAAGTTAGTTTTAACTTATATTTAATCAATTCCTATTATTTTTTGTACTTGAATTTATCTTTTTAAAATAAAAATAAATATTTATTTATCTATATATACACTAAACCTCTGACAAGTGCTAAATGCGTGCACAAAATTAAATAGGAACAAAGAGAAGTTAATATTATATAGTCGCGAAACAAAATGTTTGAAAATTTTTAACAAACACAATTATTTAAGTACCTACCTATAAATTATAATATTTATATATACCTGAACGTGTCGTGGTTGCCGATAGTTGTGTACATGTTTGGATTGGTATCTGGATTGTTTGCAAAACCATTCATCCTGTTCGGAGATGATTGTTGTTGCTGCTGTTGCTGTTGCTGTTGCTGCTGCTGCTGCTGCTGCTGCTGCTGTTGTTGTTGTTGTTGTTGTTGATTTTGCGGGTCCATCGATTGGTTTTGGTTGGAGTTTGGACGCCGTTGGGTGCGCAGTTTTTCTTCCCGTCGCCACTTGGCCCGTCGGTTCGAAAACCATACCTGTTCAAATCACAAACCGACAACGTTATATTATGTTATATATAGCTATACAGTGAAATACAAGAGAGGGCTAACATAATCATCTCCTCATCGTATTACTTAATATTCTTTAAATGTTGACACCGCGTGTATCATGAAGACTTAATTATATAATTAACTAGGTATAGGTACTCGTTCGAAATGCAACTTTTATAAATATATAGATATACTTAAATGAATATTATTCTGCATAGGAATATGAATTTAAAATTGTATTGTCTTCCAAAAAAAAAACTTACAAATTACAATGATAGAAAAAGTAAAAAATATTAACCTTTTTTGGGAAAAATTATGTCAAAAAAATATTTTCAAAAATGTTAATTATATTTTCGAAATAATACCGGCTTAGACACTTAATGGATTACTTTATAAAATTGTTTTTGGTTGCAACGAGTGTTTTCCTTTATTATAATAGTTCCTAACAACAAATAATAACATACTTGTATTATATAATATTAGGTATATAGGTACATACCACCCACATATATTTTGACATTCTATAGTATTCTACAAACGGATGTATATGTACATGCATAGAAGAGGAGGGACGTTCGCGGAAGGTCTTTTAAACTTTTACGAAAAACTTTCATGTTGAAATAAAACCGAAATTCCTCGAGTTCGCCAGAAAACTTTTATATCTCTCTACGAATATTGTTTTTGCCCTTTTATGCGATCGTAAACAAAACAAAAGTGACGTTTACCTGTATTCTTGCTTCCGGCAATCCGATTTTCCCAGCAAGTCTTTCTCTAGCGAATACGTCTGGATAATGCGTCCGTTCGAATTCTAAATATAAACACGTTACGTTGTATTGGTTGTTATAGGGTTTTGATATTATGGGAGTTAATATAGTTAATGTAGATTATAATATATATGGCAGGTAGTAATAGTAGTATACCAAATTCAAATATATTATGTAAACGATTGTAAAATGTCACACAACATTTATGTATATCAAGTATAATATATATTCACCTTTTTCCAAACTATCAATCTGGTCGTTGGTGAACGACGTACGGTTTCTTTGCAGTTTTCTCTTCAGTCTGAGTCGCGCTTGGTCGTCGTCGTTGGCCGATCCGGTGGTTCCACCAATCAAAGAACCGTCGTGGTTGGAGTTATCCCCGATGGACGTGCACGTTTCATCAGATCCCATTCCTCCGTCCAAGTCTAAAACTAATAAGTTTGGATTTGATATATTATTAGATACTAAAATACATCTCTAGGTTGAGGAATTTGATTTAAATTTACATAAACTATAATTATAATTTGTAACCCTTAGAAAAAATGCTACTGTGAATTTTTACATAATATCATACACCAGACACCTACATAGATTGACGATTAAAAACCTAGCTAACAATTGTTTTTAATCACTATACTCACTATACTCACTATACTCACTGACATACTCAAACATATTGTAGTTATATATTTTGAGGGTTGACTGTTGGGGGAGGAGGCATGCTCCGCCTCCACAAGTTATGTACTTTGGTACAATTCAATCATTTTACGCTAATATTTTAGGTGTTTCTATTATTTTATTTTTCCCATTCGAGCACTGGACTAATAGGTCATATGTCCTGTATATTATATAGGTTTATCGGCAGTCGCACTATATCTAGCTAACAAAGGCATAATTGGGTATAGACCTTGGATGTTTAATACTAATTAGGCTGCTTAAAATAAGTGAAAATCGCCGTGCTATGTTGGCGTGAAAAACGAAGCGGTTATGTCTTACGTGTTTGTCACAAATTATATTATATTAAGCCTAAGAAAGCCATCAACATTGATAAGTACTTAATACCTACTTATAGCTAATAATTAATCTATTTAATTCATTTAATTTAATTTTAATTTTATTCATTTAATCAATACCTAGAGGAATATATTACAATGTATAATATTTTACCCACATAATTTAATAATTAACAATTAATAAGTTAGTTTTATAAGATATAACATACATAAATTAAAATGTATTTTTTATATAAAAGTGAATCTTAGGTATAGTCATTTTGTTTAGCACTATTGTTATAAACTTTAATATAATTGTATAAGAGCTCCTTATGCATAAATTAAACTATAATATTATATAAATGATTTAATTAATTGAATATCTATTATTTGGATAACGAAGGAAAATATTTTACATAATATCTACCTATATATTGTAGGTGTAATAACAGGTGTGTCTGTTAATTATTGTTATTATAGAATATACTCTACTATGTTTTTCCGTGTCATATTTAGTCCAATATTTCTAGGGGGACGAACATATAATAATTTACAACTATTCATTATAATTGATAATAGGTTTACATTAAACATATTATAGATATTTTCAATTTTTGGGATAATGCCTCCCCCCCGCATGTTAATACTAGTATAATCACTAATCGCTATTATAACCGTATAAAGAGATAGGTGCACAAACGCAAACGAATTTATAATTATATATTATAATATTATGTAGGTATGTCGTCGTTGCAGCAGTAATCTAAATGCGAATAATTGATTTTCCCATTCACAAACGTCTTGTAATTGGTCCCATTGTAAGAGACGCCGTATAATATTATTTTACCCACAAGTAAAATAGTAGTTGCCGGCTGCGGCCGTCTCGTTCGATTTTCAATTCGTCACTTGTGCCGTTCGCAGCGGGCGAATTCACTTAATTGAACTGTTAAATTTGTTTTAAATACGATTTATTTTTAACTTTTACCACCGAAAATAATAAAACAGTGTGCAGGATGGTTGATGGTTTATATATATTATAGACATTTATAGTACTTATGTAGTGTTTTTATCTTCATCTCACCGTATTATATGACTATTTTCAGTTAAATATTTATATAATATCCTATAAAGAAAAACACCTATGTAGGTATAAGTACAAGAGTGACGCCCTGTATGTCTGAAAAGTGAAAAGGTTTAGATTAATTAAACCTTAAACCAATGTAGGTAAAAGTGAACCGCGGTTTAGAGCATGAACAGAAAGTTATAAAATTCATTGGCTGGAAATTTCTTTGAACAATTTATAGAAATAGTAGGTATAAGGTTCTCGACTCTCATGTTGTATAATATGTTATGAACAATTGAGGATGCTTATTATTAAGAGGACGCCACACCCGCATGTGTTGTCTCCGTCTTACAAACGCGTAACATAGCAAATTACGTCCACGGAAAACAAACGAATCGGCATCAAAAAGTGGTTTTAGAGTAAAAATACCTATAATAAAACTTAAAGAGAACAATATTTCGGAGGGAACCTCATCGGGGTTTTGTATTAATCTAAATACACAGCTAGATATTGAAGGCACAAAAACTCTTTTTTTTAAATAACCACAACTTTTTTAATAGTTAATGTTTTTAAAAACGCCGATGAGGTTCCCTCCAAAATATTGTTCTCTTTAAGTTTTATTATAGGTATTTTTACTCTAAAACCACTTTTTGATGCCGATTCGTTTGTTTTCCGTGGACGTAATTTGCTATGTTACGCGTTTGTAAGACGGAGACAACACATGCGGGTGTAGCGTCCTCTTAAAATAAAGTCGAGTTGGTTTATAATTGGGTGTTATAATTATACGAGTGCAGACAGTACAGTAGAAATAGTAGTGATACAATTGATTTAAAAATAGATTAAAATATAAGTACATAATTTTTTAGAAAACTAATTCGATTATGGTGTTCGTGTTTAATGATTTTAAGAATGTACACCAAAAATAGACATTAGGACTCGTTCTTGTAGTTTTGCAGGTATTCGTTGCTGCGTGCTATGAAATATATGTACAGTTTATCGTAAAAATACTTTGTTTTTATCGTAAAAATACTTTGTTTTTGACGAAATCGTCAACGAGATACCGAAATTTCGTTAAAAAAACTTTCCTTAGGGCCGCGTGTCCTGCCGCTTCAGTGTTGTTACACAAAGTTAACACGCGTGGGAAAACGGAAAAACTATATCCACATAGAGTATAGAAGTTGCGGGAATCCACGATTTGATATATTATTATGTTATATATTTTATAATAGTATATGGGATGTGCATATTATTCACACCGCATTATTATTTTGGCAAAGTCGACACAAACACGCGCATCATAATATATTATTATTACTGTATGTTGTGTGTATATGTTTGTATATTATATATTATATTATTGTTTGCGTGGTGACTCGTATTAACTAAAACAATTATTTCGAAGGTCCGAGTTTATGATGTGAAAGACTGCCTATATTATACATATATATACTGCACCTCCCGCGGCCTCAGACCTCTCTCACACACACACACACACATATATATAATATACAATCGTCGCAGTCGCGGTCCATCCCTAAATCGGAGAGATGATTATTACAGCATCCCTTCTCTTTCTCTCTCTCCCCTCTCACTATCTCTCTCTCTCTCTCCATAGTTTATATATATACAGACACGCACACTAAAGTACGTCGCTGCTCGTTACGCTTGTGTGTGTGTGTGTGCGCGCAGGGGCCGACTTTTAGGGGGTTCAAATTGTTCATTGGACCGCGCGGATCGGCGGGTCGGGTTTGGGGGACGGTACATCGCGCGACACAAGGGGTTCGACCGTGTATATATATATATATATATACATTTTTTTTTCGTCTCCCCATGTTTATATATATATATACCTCACCCGCCATCCTTTTCTGCGCCGATCGTCCGTCGTGGAAAAAAGGGCTTTTTTAAAATTTATATATTACACACGCGATATTGTACGCGTATAATAATAATAAATACACGTACGCGCATAACGCGCTCGATCCGCTCGGCACTCGCATATATGTATAACAGCCGGCGTGACAAAAATCGGTCAGGAGGTGTGTGTTTTTGGTACGCACAAGGGGTGGGGGGGGTGCAGTTTGGTCTATGTGTGCGTGTCTTTGTACGATTTTCACAGCGTACACGCAGTATTACGCACATATGCGTAATATATACAAGGCTATAAATATACGGTACATATATATATGTGTGTGTGTGTATTATTATATTATGCTGGATCGTACACATATATAATATTATACACTGTCACCGTCATAAACGCGGTCTGTACGGTGCGAAAAAAAAAAAGATAAATAAAAATCTCTCGTTAATAATAATAACGCGCGCACCGCATTTATAATAATATAATATTATATTTAAAACCCTTCTTCTCGCGGGACCGTTTATAGAACTACGCCACACTTTTCCTCCCACCGATACTCCCCGAGGCTCGATCACTCGACGCGGCGTAGCACGCACGACCAACGTTTCTCGCACACGCAGGAAAAACTCGTCAATAATATCGTCGTATTTATTTTTTCATTGCATTTGTTCAGCTTCGTCTCACTGTAGCTGATACTCGTATTATAATATAATACATATTATATTCTTTAATACTTACATTCCACATAAATACACAATCTATATAACTATATATAAAAACTGCTGCTAAAACGGTTGGCTTTTAATACCACAATATTAATATAATATAGGTAGGTCCTACATTATAATACCAATGTATCGATGTATGAGTATTCTGATATGCATTAATTATTAGCCGAAAAAATTTAAAATTTATAACTATATTTTTTTTACATAATATAAACAACTTTTGATGCCAGCTCTTATAATATACATATGTGAAACTAGACAATCCATGGACTGACCTTATAAAATTGTCTAGTTTCGTCTATACCTATATATTATTATTATAAATTAAACGAAGCGGCTTCACTCCATAAATTGTTTTCAATCTATACGTTATGCATTTAAACTATTCAGTTATAAAATTATAAATTATAATTATACATTTTTCCACTTTTATATATCATACATGTATTTATTTTTACCGTCATTTTAATTACCCATTCAAGCAAAATTTTTTTAATACATGTTTTAAAAAAATAATTGCAGACGATAGTGATTATACTATAGCATACGGTTGTCGACTGTCGCAGACGAACTGCAATTTTCTCGTGAACAATATTATAATAGTATCCATCAGGAATGAGTATATTACATTATTATTACCTACATAGGCTACCTATGGGTATTATATATCTATAGGTACCTATATTGAATATACGTAGAAAGACATTATATTTCAGCTGAATTTATGGCATACAAGGGCCTGTTTGTATTATTCGTATACTACTTTAGCAGATATACATACCTA